CCACTCGATTGCCAGGAAGAGTTCCCACGCTGGCCGTTTCCTGGCCTACTCTCAACCACCCCATTGTGAGCGTCCTGAAAATATGCTGCCCACAGGGTCTCCCAGAGCAGAGAGAAGAAAAGTGGGTCCCTAGAGGGGTGCTGGGAGAGGCCTAGCTATCCCCATGGCCTTCTACCACTTCTCAGACCCCAGGCCTGTCAGTCATCAGTCTGAATTTCCCAGAAGCCCCTGCCTGTTGAGGTCACTGGCCTTTCTCTCCCAGAAGCCCCTGCTCTCTGGGAGGTTCGACATAGATAGCAAGCCAGTAGCAAAGCACCAGGAGCTGGAGAGAGAGACGGAGAGAAAGATTGCCAGGACCCCTGGCACCCACACATATGCTCTCTAACCCCCTCCAAATCCATTCCAGGCCAAGTGAAGCCCAAACTAAATAAATTGCCCTGTGGACCCTCCCAGCCACCCCCCGGGGCAGCCCCTATTATTCCCACCTGGCAGACAAGGGCATTGTGACCTGCTCAGGGCATGCGCCCAGGTGTGACTGAGCTTTGAATTAAAATCTGAGCCCCACCCTCTTTCTAGCTAATCTGCTGATGGTTTCTACACCTTCCAAGTCCCCTATTATCCTTTTGCCTCTGTTAAGATCACCTGCTAAACTAACCCTGGAAAATCATCCCACCCACTGCCTGGCTTTCCAGAAACTGAAATGGATGGTTTAACTCAGCCCTTACTGAGCAGGCGTCACTGCCGTGTGCCATCAAGTCACTCCACAGGGCACTGCCCTGGGGGGTTTCCAAAGCTGCCATCTTTACCAGAGCAGACTACCAGGTCTTTCCCCCCCACAGAGCTGCTGCTAGGTTTGATCCACCAACCTTTTGTTTAACAGCCACACACGTAACCATCGTGCCAGGCCTCTTTTACTAAGCATATGCATTGTCTCAATTTATTTCATTTCGTAGCATGCTAGAACCAGCCCACCTCATCTGCCCTGCCATCTGTGTATATCCCCTGGCCAGTGACCACGATGCAGTCCTGTTCCAAATCACTGTCCCTTCTTAGGCTTATCCGTCCTTCACAAGCCAGCTCCATAACCCTCCTGGACAGTGCAGGCCACAGCAGCTGCTGCTTTGAGGTGACTCCATCTATGTGCTTAATATTTATTATTCAGCTAGGACTGTCCTGCTTCCTGTGGTCCTGCTCCACAGGGCCGGCAAGGTCTTTGGGGGCCTGAAGAACCGGGGATTCTACCTGGTCCTGCTGTTCTGCCTGTGGTGGGTCCTCCCGTCCTCAGACTCCTCATCAGTGAAGCAGGGGCTCTGAGAGACAACTGTGTCTCTGGGGCTTGAAAGGCCAGGACAGTGAAGCGGTGTAAGTAGCTTTACACTTTCTCAGGTGGTATGTGCACCCACAGGCCACGCTTATCTCAGTTTCTGAGTCTCTGCACCCTCCTCCAGGCCCAGCACGGAGAGGGAGAGGGGGACTTCATCATCTCTGGATGCTGAGTCTGTAAAATTTGATGGTCTGGAAGAGGAAGACTCCCTGTACCTCAACCCTAGGCCCAGTGAGCACACCTTCAGGCTTGGAAAGGAGGTTAGGACAGGGAAGGTCCCCCAACATGACAGCAGATGATGGGAGTCCTGAAGGAACTGTCCTGAAGGGTGAATAAAGAAATAGCTTTTTTAAAAAGATTAAAATCTTCTGGGTTGAGTTGTAACAAAAAACGGCTGCCTCGTCTATATGGAGCTATGCTGCTTAGTCAAAGGCACAGAACCTCCCGGGAGGTTCGAATGCACAAGCGGGGCCTCAGGAGAAAGGCGGACCATCTCCTCCCGTGTGTCTGCAGCCTTGGAAACCTAGCGGAAGCTCAGCTGTGAGTCAGTTCTGACTTGAGTGTTGAGAGGAGGTTATTCAAGAGGCCATGGCAGTGCCATGAGTAAGCACTCCAGCTGCTGACCAAAAGGTCAGCAGTTTGAAACCACCAGCAGCTCCAAGAGAATGAAGACCTGGCAATCTCCTTTCTTAAAACATGACTCAAAACCAAACTGAGCCCATCATTGTCAAGGTAATTCCACTGCACAGTGATCATATAGGGCGGAGAAGACCTTCCTAATCCGGTTTCCAGGCTGCAATCTTGATGAGAACAGACTGCTTCATCTTTCTCCCCTGCAGCAGCTGGTGGGTTCACACTGCCAACTCTTCGGTTAGCAGCTCAGTGCTTAACTACAGTGCCACTAGGAGTCTTTCCTAAAAGCCAAGACAACCCTACCCCTTAACACATAGGGTTGTTGTGTTGATTTCACAGCTTTCTTTTTAGTTTTGTTTTGATTTTTCTGGTCTAGCCTCCCCAAGCAGCAGCAACCTCGAGGTGATAGAGCAGGAGCTGGAGCCAGCAACTCCCATGAGACTTGCTGTTCCAAAGCAGAATGGCCTAGGTCACAGCAGGATTCTGTGGGGCTGGGACCTCAGCCGGGACAGTCATTCTCTAAGCCCAGGGGTGGAGGGAGGAGGAAGTACTTTGGTTCTGACAGACCTCGTTGCCCCGTCCCAGGCTCCTGTGCAGACCTTGGTCATAGCCAGATCCCTGGCAGGAGATGAGGGGCTCGGGAGGAAGGAGAAAGAGGCTTCTCCCCCAGGGTGGATGTCCTGCCCCAGCCACTGAGAGGTGGGAGAGAAGCTGGCAGGTGGACCTCTCAGTCTGGCTCCCCCCAGGGCTGGGCAGAGAACATGCAAACTACCCGGGAGAAGGAGCCTGGCATTAAATGTCAGGAAGGGCCCAGGGCAACTGGGCTTGTGCAAAGTTTGCTTTGGGAAGAGCTGCTCCACTTGACAGGCGTTTACTTGGCTGGGGCGCCTGGTGGGGCATTGAACGAGATGAAGGTTGGGGTGGCGAGGAGGGTCTCTGACCAAGTCTGAGCCCCTGATCCTCTGCTCTCTAGCCCTGGCACTGGGGCAGGTAGTCTGATCTTTGAGACTCAGTTGTCCCATCTGTTAAATAGGCTGCCGAGAGCATGTCGTAAAGTGGTTGTGAAGGCAGAGAGGACGTGGCTTGTGAAGGCCTGAGGACACGTACAGGTGACATGTGGGGGCTGACAAGGAATGGCACTGGAGAAGCAAGGGAGGAGCAGAGGTGAGGTAGTGAGGAACAAGACAAAGGCAAGAAGCAGCACATGGTGATGGAGGGTGGAAGGAGAGGGTGGGCCCCAAGAGAGGACTCTAAGGGACTGGATAGCTTATGAGAGCCTAGGCCCATTGCCCTGGGGTTACTCAGCTCTCTAGACAGCCCAAGGCAGCTGCTGGCCTCTCACACCCTTCTCTAACCCCTAGAAGGTTAGACCTGGAAATCCTATTTCATCTCCCATGGAGGTGAGAGTGGGAGGAGCTGGATCCTATGGTCTCAGGTGACTTGCTGCACCAAGAGGAGAAAGGGCCAGGCCCACAACATTCCTCCATGCCCCCACACCGCCCCAGCCCCCTAGCCCAGAGGACAAGGCTGGGAAAGCTTACAGCTTGCAAAACCAACAGAATCAGCCTGGCATCCTGCCTTCACCAAACTCCTACACAGCCTTCAAAGCCCCACTCTCTCCTCTCTGAGGTCTCCTTTAACAAGTCCCAAGCCCTTCAAGCCCACTTTGTCCTACAGTCTCCTCTTACAGCAGAGGAGATGCACATGTAGAGATGTAGCATGATTCATCCACAGTCACAAAGTGACTTCTAGCGCTGCAGGCCCTTGTTCACCACCCAGAAGACCTGTCTCCTGTTCAGCCTGAACTAACCTCCCCAGGTTGCACTGGAGCTGCACCACCCATTTAACCCAAAATCGTTCCCTAATTGTTTTAGAGCTATTAACTTTGCACCTGCAATGCTAAAATGTGGATTCCTCGCTTCTACTTATTGCCAGCACTGCGCCTTCTGAGCATCCATTGAGCGTCTGCCTACTGGTGCAGCTCCTTCCCTCAGGCTGGGTGGGTAGAGAGCTCTGAGCCCTGTCTACTCCGGAGGGTCCTTGTGAAGACAAACTGTGTCCCCACTGTTAAGCAGCTTCAGAACGGATAAGGTTCAGTACACACACAGCTGGCAGGGGCTGAGGTTTGCAGCCCTGGATCCTTCCATGGAACCTGACACAGTGAAATAAACGCGGGTCCATTCACGGACAGTCAGACCCTCGATGGGGAGGGTCATCCTTGAATTGACGAGAGGCTGCCTCCTCCATGCCTTAGTCTCCTGGAAGTTCTGGGGATGCCCCTCTCCAGCCTCTATTTGCCTGTGAGTTTGGGGTCGTGGGACTCCCCATTGTGAGCCTGGCTCTGCCGCCTGTCCCAGGTGTCCGCCTGTCCCAGGTGTCCACCTGTCGTGTGGCCTCTCCTCCCCCGCCCTGCTCGCCACGGGCCAGGGGCAGCTGATGCCTGTTTGCCTTGTTAGTCAGCAGAGCAGCTGGTGTCGGGGAGATGCTGCTTGACTGGGGGTTGCCGCATAGCTGTTTATTGGGGAGGTGGGGGCAGGAAATGAGGCTAAGGCCAGCCCTGGCCAAGGAGGAGGAGGAAGACAGTGACGGTCATAAAGGGGACAAGTTACACTGAGCCTGTGGCCTGGCCTGGGAGTAGAGCTGCCCCTCCCAAATGCACATGTGTGCACCCCACCCACCCCAAGGTCAGCCTCAGGGAAATCCCCAGTCACCCAACTCCCTGGGTCTACCACCCTGCCGTGCCCACTCCCTCTTCCCTGTATGGCCACAGGATGAATAGAGCAAATCTTGGAAATGAGAGTCTTCAGGGGACCCTCCCACTTTCACAATTGCAGCTTTCTTCATGTTTCCAGTCTGAGCACAAATGTCCTCACCTTCCCCAGGGACCTGAGGGCCCAGGGTTGTCTGTGTCCTCCACTGGCCATCCTAGCCCCCCACTTTCCCCCTGAACCTCAAGAGTTTGACCCACTAAAGGCCTCAACACCAGGGAGCCCCTTCCTCAGCACCACAGCTCCGCAGTTGGAGCAGAAAGGCCGCCTGTGTTTCATGGGTCAAGCAGAACCGGGCGGGCATGGGTGTTCGGGCTCTGGACCTGCTGAGCTGTCCTGCTCGGATGTACAGGCAGGCGCAGCCTCAGCCTCCGCAGGGGACCACAGCCACACAGGGTGCTCACCTGGGCAGAGGCACAGCCCTGGAGGCTGAGGGGGCACCCTGCGGAGGACAGGAAGGGAAGTGCAGGACGACTGACACCTGCCAAGTTGGCAGACCCCCTCCTCCAAGGCTGTTCTCAATCACCCACTGTCCCCACAGCTGGCAAGGGGAACGTTCCTGTGACTCGACCTCCCAATGCACCTGTCAGACTTACTCGTTAGCTGCCTAGTGCCCAAGGAGTCGTCCGTTGCAGGGCCAACCTCAGGGGCCAGGAGGAGGTGTGGGCAGCCTGGGCCACTGCTCTGTTTCAGCCGGGCATCTGAGGGGCCAGTGGGGCCAGAAGACAGCAGTGCTGAAGACAGAGGTGACACTCGGGTGAGACGCCGGGGGCCTGGCCACCCTCGAGGGGTGGCTCTCTGAGGTCTCAGGGCTGAGTGTCTTGTGGGGAGCCTGCTGCTCCCAGCCCAGGGACACTTGCTGGTGCTGTGGCAAGGCCCGACGCCCAGAGGCTTAAAGAGGGACAGCAGCGGGCTGGGGGCACTGCGTCTGCAGGGTGGCGTGGACGAGGGCAAGTGCAGGAATGTGTGGAGAGGAAGTCAGGCAGCCGGGAGATGAAGAGTTGGCTGGGGCCTGATTTCCCATTATAAGTAATCCTTCCTTATTTACCTGAACAAATACGCTCCCTGCTTACCTCAGACCACAGGCAGGCTCCGGGTTAACCCTTGAAGGCCTCCCCCTCTTCTCTGGGGGACCAGCACCCCAGCAACCAGGAGACTCATTCACTCATTTATACTCACTCTCAATCATTCACTCACTCACTACTTCACTAATGAACAGACAGCTACTGAACTTACATGCAAGAGGGACCAGGGGTGGCTCTTAGAAAGCTCAGCTGAGCAAGCCACAAATGCTGGCGAGGTTGTGGAGAAACTGGAACCCTTATTTACTGTTGGTGGGAGTGTAAAATGGTGCAACCACTATGGAAGGCGGGGTGGCACTTTCTAAAAAAGTTGCAACTAGAGATACCATTTGACCCGCAATTCCACTACTGGGAATATACCCCAAAGAGACCATAACTGACATCCAAGCAGATATATGCACACCAATGTTTATCGCGGCTTTGTTCACAATTGCAAGGAGTTGGAAACAACCTAAAGTGCCCATCCACAAATGAATGGATAGAGAAGCTCTGGTATATTCACACAATGGAATACTATACTGCCTTGAAAAACAAGGAACTCATGAAATATTATTCAAACTGGGTGACTCTGGAGGACATTATACTGAGTGAAGTATCTCAGTCACACAGGGGCAAATACTGCATGGTGCCACTGTTGTAAAACAGGGCTGACATTAGGGTTGGGGGGAGATTGAGAAAGATGGGTTCAATAATGTATACTGCATTGAAACAGATGAGAGAGAAAACTGTTTTAAAGGGTTATGTGATTAGGTGTTATTGTAATGAAAGGAGTCCAGAAGGAAGGCTACACAGTGGCGTGGACTTGGGAGGGACTTTAAGACAATGAAATAATTTTTTTTTTTACTTTTCAAAGAGAAGAGTGTGGGGGAAGGGTGGGCAGGGAGAAAAGTTCAACAATGAATGAATGGAAATCCAAAGTCTCTGTAAATTTTCATTAAAATTAATAATAATTTAAAAAATTTTTTAAAAAAGAAAGAAGGCTCAGCTGAAGACAAGGGACAAACAAACTGCAGTGAAATCCCAGAGCCACCATGCTCTGATGAGGGCTGTGGTGGCGTACCCAGCAGGGGCTTTCTGGGGGTGGTGCTGTCAGCTCCTGAGACCAGGAGGTATTCAGTAACTCCTGAGCAAAGGGTCTCCTGAGGCTCACAGGCCAGTCCTGCCCTGGCAGGAGCTGCCATATTCAGATAGCCTTCCCAGATGTGAAGTGGGAGTCTGCAAGTGCCTGTGCCTCAGCCCTTGAAGCATAGAGAGGGAAGGGGGTGCAGGGAGGGCAAGTGGACCTGGACTCTCACCCCTCAGCCTCCTCTACCTCCATGAGTCTCAGGGATGGTCCCTGTAGTACAGCTTCATCCTCACCCTGCCACGTGCGTTGAGGGCTGTTCCAGGGCCGCAGGAGCTGTGTCTTCCTTTCCCTATAGCAGCTCAGAAAAGCACTACGCACCGAAATCCTCATTCCACCAGGTGAAGAGCTTTTAGCTCATGTTTACTGTTCTCAAGCGTCCCTGTTGATGCATTTACGTGCTAGACTACTATCTGAGAGACTGACAGTTGCAGCTCACTCAGAGGCACCTCAGAAATAAGGCCTGGCAATCTGCTTCCAGAAAAACTCCAAGGAGCCCAGGTCTACTCTGCACTCACAGGTCTTTATGAGATGAAATCACCTGAATGGTAACCAGCAAGAGCATCTGATTTCAGAATTTTGTGGCTGCCTACAGTATTCTAGGAGAGCTCTGGTGGCTTGATGGTAATGAGTCGTACTACCAACCCAAAGGTATGTGGTTTGAATCCATCAGCTGCTTGATGAGAGAAAGATGGGCAATCTCTTCCTGTGCATTTCACTGCCTCTAAAAACTCACTGGAAGGTCAGCTATGGGCTGGCTCCAACTCAGCAGTATACAACAACAACAACAACAACAACACAACAGTATTCTAGGGTTTCAGGAATTCCCAAACGTTCAGAAATAGTATCCTCCCTTTAAACTGTGTCATAATTCATCACCTTTTGGTTGGGACTTTGTGCCCTGGTGAGCCTTAAGCTCTTATCATCACTGGCATCTCAACAAAGATGTGTTATCAGAATCACACCCCAGAGCAGGTTAAGGTTAAGGTTGCAAAGTGCCTACAATTGGCCATCCTGTTGTCAGTGACCCAGCCTCCTAAGGCCAGTATGTTCTCAGGCAGGACGTCTTGAGGATGCCTTTCTGTACCCTGCCCTCCCTCCATCTGTGCAAGCACCTTCCTCTTCTCTCACAGCAGCCTGCACTTATATCATAGTTCCCGCTGCAGTAATAACTGTGACTACTCCATGAACAGTTGCCTCTTGTTATGAGACCAGAAGAAGCGGAGGTGCTCAGCTACCATTATTGAACATTCTGATCCAAGAGGCTATAGAAGAATCCTGATCAAAAGGGAAAAACTTGCAGAACAGAATCTAAAAATTTTACAGAATCCAGAATTTCTGTATCCATTGTGATTCGATGAACCCCTTAACTATTCCGATATGTTGTTTTTGTTGTTGTGTACCATTAACTCAGAACCAATCCATAGCTGATCTCTAGCGGGTTTTCAGAGGCAGTTTGTTGTACGGGAGGAGACTGCCCATCTTTCTCCCACAGAGCAACTGGCAGATTTGAACTGCATGCTTTTGGGATTGCAGTGAAACTTCTTGCCACTGTTTTTGTTATGTGCCATCCAGTCACCTGTGACTCACAGCAACCCTATGCACAACAGCCCTAAACCCTGCTCTATCCTGTGCCAATCTTATTGTCTCTGACACACCTACCCCTATTCCCCCATCTCATCGAGGGTCTTCATCTCCTGCGCTGTCCCTCCACCCTCCCAAGCATGATGTCCCTCTCCAAGGATCGGTTCCTTCTTGCAACATGTGCAAAGTATGACAATGAAGTTTCAGAATCCTTGCCTCCAAGGTTTAACCCTCTCCAGGATGAACCTGTTCGTTCTCTTAGCAGTCCATGGTATATTCAATACTCTTCTCCAACACCACAGCTCAAAGGCATCAATTCTCCTATCACCCCTAGTCATTGTCCAGCTCTCTGACACATAGCAAGTGACTGCAAAGACACTGGCCTGTATTAAGTGCACCTTAGTTTCCAGACAGACATTATTGCTCTTCAGTACTCTAGAGAGGTCTCTGACAGCAAACAGTCCGAACACAATACGTCTTTTAATTGCCTGGCTGCTGGTGCCAAAAAGTGTTGATTATGGAGCCAAGCAAGCTAAAACTGTTTATAATCTCAATTTCTTCACCATCCATTATGACGCTGCCAATCTGCCCAGTGGTGAGAATCTTTATTTTCTTGACATTGAGCCTCAATCCATATTGGAGGCTGTAGTCCTTGACCTTTTACAGCAAGCACTTCAGGTCCTCCTGTTTCAGCAAGCAGGGTTGTGTCATCTGCATAACACAGATTGTTGGTGAGTTTTCCTCCAATCCTGATGCCACATTTCTCCTCATAGAGCCCAACCTCCCAGATGATCTGTTCTGCATATAGATTGAAAAGGTATGGAAATAGGACACATGTCTGGCATACACCCTTCCCAATTTAGTTTTTAAATTTTAAACAATAAAATTTTTTCCCCAAAGTGGTTTTAAAAGCATTGTGTTCTTTTAAGAACTACCCATATGAGGGGGAAGGGAGGAGGGGGAAGAAAATGTGCAACAATGAATAAAATTTTTTTTTAAGTTGGATGATGAATAAAGATGACACAAGAAAAAAAAAAGAACTCCTTATACGGTGTCAGATTGGCAATAGCAACCTGAAAGAGTAAATGCGACCCTTAGTGGATAGTGAGTTTATGTAAATAAGGAAGGAACAGGAGGGTAAAATGGTTGCACAATTTGAAGACGAGAATCAATGCCAGTGAACTTGACCTGTAGAAGTTGTTGAATTGTTATATGTTCTGTGTATATTCTCAAAAACAGCAACAAGAACAAGTGAAATAAATTTAAAAGAATAACAGTGATGCTGCTCAATGAGCACCTAGACTATATGCCAACCATTTTTTAATGATCACAGGACAGTAAAATATCAGTTACATATCAGAACTATTGCATGACTAAGAACAAGGGTGGTTGTTATTGCTGTGTGCCTTCAAATCAGAACCAGCTCAAACTGCGTGGGAGGAGACTGCGCCTCCTGCTCTCACGGAGTAGCTGGTGGATTTGAACCACATGTCTTTGGGATTGAAGCACAGTTTCCAACCACTATGTTACCAAAGCTCCCTCCGTACAAGGTACAAGGAGTTCCCTATAAATGCTTATTGAATGGAAAGGTATCGGAGTAGTTAGTTGCTCCCAGTACCCATTCTCCCTGTTTCTTAGTTAACAAGGCCTGATTTTTTAACCAGGCATGTGAATTCCTGGATTTAAGACAACCTTGCTTCTTCTGTAGCTAGCTATGATTATGTGACAAAACTGAAGTGTCAGTGTCACGTGTTAATTTCTAGAAATCTTTCTTCTTATTATACTTTTATTGAGAACTGAGTGAAAGTTTACAAAGTAAATTGGATTATCACACACTTTTTTACTCATGACCACGATGCTATTATGCTCTCCCTCTGTTTCCTCTCTGTAATTCTCATTTCCATCAATCTTTCTAGTCTACCATTTCCTGCTTCTGAGCTTTATC